GTAGTCGTAATGTTCTTTTGATGCTAATTTAAATTAATCATATGATAATCGAAAATTATCATAGTCCTAGATAGAGAACCTAGCTTTCCAAGCCCTGTTATTGTCGATTATTTGAGAACATTGGAAATCGAGGTATAACTCACTCCAACGCAGAAAAGCGAAGCAAATGGTGCTGTAGAGCGAGTCCACTTAACAATAAAGGAAATATCCAGATCCCTACAACAGGAACATCGAAATTTACCATTTAAAGAAATAATTAACATTGCCGTCGATCGCTACAAGAACAGTACTCTGTTACCAGAATCAATTACCAAAACCTAACGAACTTTCAAGACAAGGTTCATGAAGATCTTGCTGAAAGAATTCGGAAATGCTAAAAAGACAAAATAAATAGAGAAAGAATAAAAGACACAACCTAAATTATATGAGCATGGAAAAGCTATCTTCGTTGTCGATAAACAAATAAAGAGCAAGAACAAACCCCTTTATAAAAAAGAAATAATAGCTAGGAATAACAATGATACAGTCACAAACGAAAACGGAAGAAGAATTCATAAGGCACACATAAAGAATTCTCCCAACTAACAACACATTTTTCACTTTTCAGCCTATTATTTCAGGTACCAACAGCTTTTCGAATATACGAGTTCAAGTCACCCATCACGACTATAAAGGAAGGCGTGGGACGAATATTAAATAGAAATCTAAAATTAGTTCACAGGATCGACTTCACCCATTCTTCCTTTATGTACTACAAAGGTGGACGTACTACAAAGATGGAAAGGGGAAGCAAATCAGTTAAGTTCCAAAACGCAACTACCTTCCAAATTCAACAAGCCGAAGATTTGATTAAAGAACTAACAGAACACTCTACTTGGAAATGGTAAGCAAATAACCCTGATGCAACCGATTGGGATGAAATACTTACAAGCCATAACAGTTTGGTCCGGAACAATAATGAGCAATATCTTATCAATTAAGTTCTAACAAATACAATAAAGCATATTCTGATGCAATATAATAGAATTATTCAAAGGTTCGATGAAAATTCAAAAGAATCTACTTACCAAACGCTTTTCGACCAAATTAATACGAATGAAGAAATGAAAGAAATCGGAAGAGCAGTCCAATTAGCCAAAGTAAAAATAGTGAACACCAAGTTAATAAATAAAGAGAAAATCAACCAATAAATTTCTGAAATGCAAACATTACCATACTTCAATGTTATTGATGCAATAGAGTACGCTACACCAACAGTAGTAGTCAAAAACATGACTTTACTCTACATATTATCACTACCCAAAACCAACGGTGTCGAATATAACTATATTAAAATCAGAGCAACCACTAAAAATAATAAGCAGTTGCATCTAACATACAAAAATCTACTAACGAACCACAAACAAATTTTTGGCACTAGCAACGAATGCAACAAGTATATAAACACCTTTATCTGCAAAATGGATCAAATTAAAGAATTGCATGATGACCATTGCATCACAAAAATTCTGAGAAACAGCAACAACACTTGTGAGTACGAATTCAACAGAAGGGAATTAGTCGAAGTAATTAATGAAAATACGACATTCCTCAATAATTTTAAGGGAGTAGTCAAAGCTAACAACACAACAAAAAACCTTAACGTTAACTTCGTCATAGAATTTTATAATGAAACAATTCAAATTAAAAACGAGACCTATACCAACAAAGAATTTCAATCGTCTCAAATTATTTTGCCATCACAAAAGAGCGACAACCATTCCTCAGGAAAAATGAAACTAAACCTATCTGCATAATTTGCACTTAGGTAATGTCAAACAACTGAGCGAACTCACTACAACTTTAGCGGTTAGCATAGCATTGAATGCCACATTCACTTTAATTATCACTGTCATATTACTAGCAGCAGCTATCCAAAAATACCAAAACCGAAAAAAATTTAACATCTCTTTAATTCTAACACATTCGTATGTACGTATATATATTTGAGTAAAAATATTATTTTATTTATGCCTAAACCTCTTCTTTATTCGAAAAATTTATTTCTGTATGTTTACCCCCATGATTTGATAAATAATATGTGCTTAAAATTTATTGCTATATGCCAAACCAGAGCTTTGAATTTTATTCAATTCATGTTGAAAGCTTAAAAAATTTTAGTTAGGAAGTTTTAAAAAAATATATATACATATTTATGCATTTAAAATTTTTGCGAATTTTTTCAAACTATTTCCTTTAAACTTTTATACAAAAATTTTTTCAGAAAATTTTAAAAAAGGCTGTTTCGGGGCTACAAAGTTCTGATGTCAAATTGTTCTGGGACCCTAGAGACAAAATTCTACCTAATACCTTTTCTCCCATGTCTCTAGCCTCTCTTGAAGTACTCGTACTTTTTGACACTTGAGAAGTAATTATATATGTATAATTTAAAAGAGGATAGTTTTTGAAAATCTATACCAAATATGAATAAAATAAAGAATTATAACAGGAAATGCAAGCTACTGCGTAGCCTATTAGGTAGCGTGGTAGTCTGATAACCAGAAGGTTATTGGTTCGATGTTTGATCGATATTGTCGTATTTTTCTTTTTGCTGAATCACTTTAATTATTTTTTTTTTAACAGATAAATATTTTTATAAAAATAACAGATAAATATTATTATAAAATTTTAAGAAAAATTTCCAAAGAATATTGTTATAACTGTTTGGAAAAATTCGCAATAGTTCTAAGCATATATGCATATTTTTTTTAAAGCTTCTTAACTAATTTTTAACACTTTTCCAAGAAAATTTTGAAAAAAATGCTTATTATTTTCACCCTGTCCCTCTATCCGTTCGTCCATCCGTTCGTCTGTGCGTATGTCTGTTTACAAAACTTTCACATCCTTAAATATAGAAAGCTGCAATTTTATATGTGCATAGATCTTTACTAGAAACTTTTTTGCAAGGAAAAAAATTTTCACCTATCTCCCCCCTTTAAAAGCTAAACCCTCCTAAAACCCAAAAAACGGTATTTTTTAACTATTAATTGCAGCGAAACAATAAGTACTTTTCAAATTTTGCAAAAGCAAAACAATAGTAGCTGGCTTCCTCTATCACGGCATGTTATTTCTTGTTTTTCCAAATTATTAAAGTTGTTTTTCTTCTATAGTCTACGTTACAGGAGTCTGAATTTTAGCAGTACTTAGATATTCATAAATAGTTTATTTCGTTAGAAGGAAGTTTTTTTCCATCCCCAGTTATTCCAGAAACTGCAAGCTTTTTCAAATTTCTATAAACGCCAAAAGCTAACTGTAAACTCTATGACATTAAAAATAATTATTTTTCTTAACTCAGACAAATCCTTAAAATCGAGCATTATGTGAACCCTTCTTTAAATTTATTTTTATTTTATTTCAAAGACTGCATAAATCGTTCGTCCCATACATATGCAATCCTAGAGATGGTTTCGTATATGAATGAAAATAATTCTAATAGTGTATACATAGATTGTATTTAAAAGCAGTATTCTCATTTGTTGAAGGGAAAAGTGGTACAATACCAACCATTGGTTTGACCCAACTTAATTTTTTAAGCTTCCTATATGAGTTGACTCTGGTTTGGCATATAGAAATAAATTTTAAACACATTAATGATTAGATCATGGGGGTAAACATATAGAAATGAATTTTTCAATTAAAGAAAAGGTTTAGGCACAAACAAAATTATAATTTTATTCAAATATATGTATGTACACATAAATGCATTAGAATTGAACTTTTTAAAATTTTTCCGTTCGAACAATTAGAAATAAAATTTTAAGGACAAACATATATAATTATGAATCTATACCAATTTTTTAAAAGATCCAAACAAAACATAATATTCAAAATTGTGGTTTAACATATTGAATTAAATTTTTCAAATAAAAAAAGTTTAGGCAAAAACAGAATAATATTTTTGTTCAAATATGTGTATTTACATATGAATGTATTAGTATTTAGCATTTTAGACTTTTTCGATCGAACAATTAAAATGAAATTTTAAATACATGCGGACATAAACTTTGTATATGTATATAATTTTTTAAAGCTTGCTGACGAAACATAATATTCAAAACAATAACAAATGAAGCATTAAACTTAATGTTTGATAGAAATTAACATATATTTAAGCTGATTTCGATTTTTCTAACTAAAAATATGTGAGATCATTGTAATTTCAAATATTATTTATTTCTTTGTTTGTGTTTCTAATAAAAAAAGGTATTTTTTATTTTTTGGTTTCTTTTTCTAATAATTTAAAGTATAAAAGAAAAACGTGCTTTTGTTATGCAAAAATTTTTTTCAGAAAATCTTAAAATAGAGCTATTTCAGGGTCTGAAACGCTAGAGACAAAACCCTATCTAATGCCTTTTGTTCCATGTCTCTAGCCTCTCTAGAAGTACCAGTACTTTTTGACACCTGAGAAGTGGAAGAATTATATATGTATATAATTATAACAAAAATAAATGCTTGTACATGTTTTCTATTGTTAATATTAGAAAACATAAAACAAAAGCATAAGAGAGAAACAAAAAAATGTGTAAAATGTTAAAAACCATGCTTAAATGCTTAAAATAACAAACACAGTTTTTTGTCACATAGTAGGATAAATTGATAAATTAAAAGTGGTAATTATTTAAAATTTTAGTAAATAAGATACCTACAAAAGTTTACAATTGAAGAAAATTTTAAAATTTATTTTTAAAATGCTGACAAAACAAATGTGTGTATATAACAAATGTTAAAAATAAATACCAACACAAGTCATTAATTTACGATTAACTGTATTCATATACTGCACATGTTTATAAAAAAAATCCAGAAAGACGTCTAAAAGAAGAAAACAATTTATTTTTAATATTAATTTCATAAGACGTTCATACATACTAAAACAAACTGACAAAAATAAACTTAAAATAAAAATTTAAATGAGCTTTAAGAAAATTTTCACATTCGTGAAGCAAAAAATAACACTATTTTCAGTTTCCATTCGATTACTTAATAAATCGGTCAAACTCACTTAAGTTTTCAGTAAACTGCAATTAAAAATATATATTAAAATGTAAGAAGTGTTATAATAAGTACATATAAATACGATAAATACATGCAAGAAATACATAGTTATATATATAATTATATGTATGTATATAGATACGTTCAATTTATATATATATATATATATATTTATATTATACTTACAATAACAATACTCCTTCCACAAAATCCATATACACTACATATTTTTGAATAATCATTTAAGCCAGTACCAAAGTATTTTTGTGTTATGTGTATACCTTGTATATTATGTATGCATAAACATTATATACATATATTCGTTATTAAAATTATTAAAAATCATTTTTCGAAAATAGAAACATGCTACTTGCTTTGGTTTAATTTTGCGCAGAAGTTTACATTAGACTTTAATTTAGGTGGCAGCTTATAACTATATTAAAAACTAGCCTTGGACTAGCCTTTATCAAACAAACACTCTAGAAAATTCTCCACTGTTATTTTACGTTTTTAATAATCTATATTAATCAAACTGTTTTATAATAATAAATTTACGAATTGGTTTTAAATAAAAATGATGTCGTATAGAAGGTTAAAGTAATTGTTATAATCACATGTTACGGATACAATATAGAGCTTGTGAATTACGTATGTTATACTATAACTGTAAAGCTTTTACATTTAAAACAATAATTACCGACCGCATTGTGCATACAATAAGGTAGGTGATGTGATAGCAACAAATTTTACATATCCAGTTTTCTGCGGGAACTTCTCCATAGTAGGGAAGTGTAAATAAACTTTTTTGAGTAAATAAACTAACCTTTCGGTCTGTCGGTCTGTCTGCGTGTAAGTGCACGCGAGTATTCGGCTGAACCTATTTTGATGAAATTTATATGTGAGTTTATTTTGGCTATGACAGGGGTTGGTCAACTTTTGGTATATGTTAGACCTCGGGAATCGAACTTTTTTACGGGCGTGTTCAACAGATTTATTTGAAATTTCATATATAAGTTTCATTCAACAATACGCGCTGTACCGTATGTGATGACCACATCAGATTTTTTTTCTGTCTTGTATTAAAAATAGATTACTTTAAAGACATCATTATCTTTTCCATTTTATTTTTAAAACAAAGTGCTGAAAAAATGTAGTTTTAGAATGTTTTGGTTTTATATTGAAATTAGGTAACTTATGTTTTTTAATGTAATTTCAATTTTATTAACAAATGATATACAAAAACGCACAAAGAGAAATATCTGTGCAAAAATTCGAAAATATTTCTTAGAGATGATTCCTTAATGAATTACTTTGTAAAACTAGTGCTAAAATTTCTTTATATAATCAATTTTAAACTATTAGACACTATAAAGCTGTCACAAGCGCATGCAATTCGGAATTGTAAATAAATTTCGAAGGCTGCATCTATTTAAGTACGATAACACCAATCTCTTGATAATACTTGAATAGTTGTCAAATTTGATACAATAATGATTAATATTATTTTGTTCGTATTGCCGAATCACAAACTTGATATGCTGCTCATTATTAAGGTGATAAAATACACCATTAAACTATTCACATTTTGTTTAATGTTCAAATTCAAAAGTATTGTGAAAAGTCAAAAAAGACAACACTATTTGTTTGTTTTAGTCTTTAATGTTATGTAATCAAAACACAGCTGTTAGGTTTACTTTATATAACCAGAATACACGTGAAATACAAATCCGTTTTTAAATAAATGTAGATGCTTGGGCTTTGCCAGGAAAAACTTAAAATAAAAACTTTTTTTTCGGGACTTTTTTAACACAAATGTTTGTATTAATTTATAATAGTATTAACTTATAATTAGAATACAAATACATTTTGCTCAAAATTTAATCATACGAGTAATATAATTATATTTAGTTTTAATTAGAATAAAGTTGGGTCAAAACAACGGTTTTTGTTGTAGCACTTTCCCCTTCAACAAGTGAAAATACTGCTTTTAAATACAGTCTATGTATACCTACCACACCACTAAAAATTATTTTTATTCATATACGAAACTATTTCTAGAATTGCATATATTTAGGATGAACGATTTATGCAATATGAAATAAAGCAAAAATAAATTTAAAGAAATGTTAACATAATGCTCGATTTTAAGGGTTAATTGAGTGAGTTAAGAAAAATAATTATATTTTTTAATGTCATGGAATGTATCGTTAGCTTTTAGCGTTTACAGAAATTTAAACAAGCTTGTGGTTTTTAAAATATAAGGCGTCAAAAATTCAAATTTCACAAATTTCAAGATGCGATAACTTGAGAAGGTGTGGAGAGGAAAAAAATGTTCTTGTAACGAAAAGAAGCATTTATTACTGTCTAAAAGCTCTTAAAATTTCTGGCTAGAGGCTGGGGTCTAGAAAATAAACGACATCAAAATTTGGAAAAAACTTACTTTAGATAACGGTTAATTTGAGCGGCCATTTTGTTTTTCTAAAGTTAACCTTTAGTATACTCCGCTAGGGGAAGCAAGCCACTGCCTTTCTGTGTTTGCAAAATTTCAAAAATGCTTATGGTTTCATTGCACTAAATAGTTAAAGAATGGCATTTTTAGGGTTTCGGGTAGGTATAACTTCTAGAGGTTGGGAGATAGATAAAAATTTTGTTCTACGGAAATAAGTTTCTAGTAAAGATCTGGAAAGACAGACAGAGTGAAACTAATAAGTACTTTTTTTCAAAAAATTTTTGGAAAAGTGCTAAAAACAGGAACGAAGCCAAAAATTCGTAATATTTCTTAAAAAAAATTGAGTATTGGGACTTGTTAGATGTAAAGACATTAACCGTAGTATAACCGCAATACTAACACAAACATACATTTTTCATTGTCATTTCGAAACAGCTTTTCAATGAGAAAGGATCGGAATTTTTCACAATCCAAAATTATTTTCCAAACGACTTTTTTCAAAGAAAATGTTTTTTTTTTGAAAAATTGATAAATTAAAAAAGTTTTTTTTTTAAAAACATTACTTCGACAAAACATTTTTTCATTTCATTTACATTTCATAATTATTTACATTCTTACTGGATATTTTCTGGCATTGTTTTACTTTCGACATCTCACGAGTTTTACAAATCACTTAATAGTTTTTCATGTTCGTTTAGTAGTTTGACGGCAACCTTTTTAAAAATAATTAGCATCAGAGCTGTATTCATATTGCAATAACTTAGTATTATACTGTAGATGTATGGTAATCTTATGTGATATGAGGGCTGTGTAGCAGGCTTATTTAACTAGTATATATTATACAAATAGTGTTGCCGCGGATTCCACCGTTGATGTTAAAAAAGCCCAAATTCCCGTTTTTTGGCATAATCTGTTTCCATATGTGCGATTTTATATGCAAAATACTGGACAATTGATTTCACTTTTCCGATGTTGTTCTGGGCTAACATTCGAAATCGTCCATTGCTGTCATTCAGAACTTTGGTTTGTTTTTACACTTATATAAATACAATAGAACTTGCATATGAACTTTTTTAAACATAAGTTTAGTATGCACCCAATTTTTTTTAAAACTTAAGTTTATGTACATTGAACATATTTACTCATTGATTGTTTACTGCTGGTTTAGTGAATGTGAACATTTTTAAAACATAAATTTTTTTATAAATTGAATAACTATATAACAGAAAGATAAGTTTAATTTCTATCTATACTTACTTATTAAGATGCTGCAATATATGTCCAATGTATTGTTATTTTTTAAATTACTTAATTTTTTAAAGTATATGTATAGTCGTTCGGAAAATGACTAAATAACCAGTAGAAAAATTACTTAAAATTCAACATTCGATTGGATAAATACCGAGTACGGGTGCCTCTGGAACCTTCAAACATGCTAGTATATATACATAATTGTTAACTGAATAAAAAGAAACAATATAATATGTTTAAGACCTTATATAAATGCACAGTTCAAAATTCAGACTATTTTACCTGTTGCAACATTACCTATTGACGTTTCGCTTTTAAACATTATTACTAAAAAAAATTTAGTTTTCCCTTTAAAATGTGCACTAGTCACTATATTCTTTATTCCTTTCAGCATTAAATAAGCATTAATTGTTTTGATTATTTATTTTGGATGGTGTCACATGAAAGTTGGATTTATTTCTGGTATTATGTGTTATATTATTATTCGCAATTTTTTATTTAAGGACTTTATGGTTAATATAGCTGTTGTTGGCAATTTTAAAACTAATCATACACAGCTCACGTTTACAAATGGACATAAAACTTATATATCGGCCTGTATATAATTCACTGGAGAAATAACTAGTTGAGTGCTTATGAATTGTCTTAATTGATTTTTCGTGAAACAGAGTTAATCTATTTATCCCATTCTCTGAAGCCCTACTCCAAATTGGGTTCAAATGTGTTAAGATAGATAAAATATACAACGATTAAATTACATATAAGGTCCCTTTATAAAAACATCTGATGTGGTCAGCACATAACCGACCGCAATGTGTATTGTCTAGTTAACCGAAAGTGTTCCAGAATATTTTTCAAATGCCTGTCAAATACTTCTTTCCAATTTTTAGGCCATTAGTAAGTTTAAAGTTAACACACCTAGAAAAATATAAATTTGGCTTAGTGGAGTTTCGTTTTGTGCCACCCTCATTCCCTGAAATGCTCTCCAGTTAGTTTCGATAGCAACCAGAACTCGAATATCAAAGTTCAAGAAATACCATCCATTCAGTGCGTAGATATGGTAAAAAGTGAAAAATCGGCCCTCAGATCAGTCTCTGAGCCCTGATATTTCTAAAAATATTACATGTTCATTGTTTTAATACAAAGAATATAAATATTAAATTTCACGGAAGTCGATTGATTGTAGTAAACCTCCTGTTGCTGACACCTGATTTCTTCCAAAAGTTATCAGATTCTGTGTACGGTCGAATAAGATAATATATAAAATTTCAAGTAAATCCGTTAAATATTTTCTTCATAATAATAAAAAATTTAAAACAGCCTCGCAAGAAAGTGCAATTCCCGAGGCC